GGGGGGGGGGGGGGGGAGAGAGAGAGAGAGAGGCAGAGGGCCGGAGAAAAGCCCCGAAGGAAGGGCGAGCCCCGTCGCCGCAGCTGGGAGGCGAAAGCCGCCTCTCCGACGCCTTTCCTGCGCCCACATAGGCACCCGGGAAATTCGGGACTCTCTAGTAATTGTGCATTTCAAAACGTGAAGGGTTGTTTGCTTTGAAGTCGGTCACAAGATTATAACTTGTTTCACACACACACACGCACACGCACACACACGCACCAGCACCGCATCCCCGGCCAGCCGTTCTTTGAGTCCAGCTGAAGTGAGTGGACCCTCCCTGACAAGACGGGCCCTTGCTTGGGGCGAACCCCCCCCCAGCTGAAAAGCCCACTCCTTTCCTCACATTCCCCTTCCCCGATACCGCCCCCCCATTGCAGTACGCCTAAAGACCAGTTTGCAGCGTTATCGTTGCCAAGATCAAGAACACTCTCCCACAGGCAGTTCCCCACCCAACCTACTAGAGTCACGGGAGCGGTGGGTTGTTTTATTTTAAAAAATTACACAGCATAAGAGATCAAAGAAGTCCTTCGAAAAGGAGCCTGCCGAAGGCTGACGAGGCCCGTACTACACATAATATTGTGCTCTTTTACTCCATTGCTCCACGCGAAATAAAGGCTAGGACGTGTTTGGGGCGGGGGGGGGAACACTCGTGTGTATTGCAAGAGAAAAGTGGGCCCCCGTGTTAAGTAGTCTTAATGCAAAACCATGAGGATTGCAAAGTGGAAGTCAGTCTCATTTAAGCCAAAGGGAGTTATTGTACTCCCCGACAGAGATACTGTAATTCAAAGCAATCTCTAAAGTCTACGCGGACGGAGAGGCCGCAACTTCGTCCAAATACATATCTAGCAATAAACTCCCACATACACAAGAAGGCTGACTTCCGAGTAAACATGATGCCATCGCGCTCCTCGGGAAATGCCGGTATTGCATTGGGTATGTGTTTTAAGGACGGGGAGACGGTTTAAAAGTCTGGAAACCGGAGCGCGGCTTACAAAGGATTCCCGTGTGTGTTAAGGGGATCGCCCGAGCCGGCAGGACTGACTTGACTGCCCGCTCACTCACTCACTCGCCCGCGCTCACAACACACACCCCAAGAAGACTGCGGTGCTCTTACCTCGATGGGGCTGACGGGCGTGGAAGGCAAAGGCTGAAGGTATTCAGGGTGCAAAATGTGTCCAGTCCGAGCCGTGAGCATTTTCAAGACTTTGATGGGGAGGCGGTTTGCCTGTCGTAAAGGATCCGAGGGTGGGACGGAGTGAAAGAAAGGCTTGGTGGCGGCGCCGCTGCCGCTGCCGCTGCTGCTGCTTGTAGGATTCCCAGTGAGTCCGCTTTGCCAGGGAAGATCAGAGCTGCTGCTGCTGCTGCTGCTGTTTCCGAGGTCTCTCGCGCCTCCTCCTCCTGCTCCTCCACCACCTCCTCCTCCTCCGTGCTGACTACTTCTTACGGCAGAAAGCAAGGGGGATGTAATCATGACCCAAAGCCTCGCATGAAAACTGGCGGGGTGGGGGAGCGCCGGCCACGCTGATCAAGAGCCGAAACGGGGCGTCTGCTTTCAATTCTTAAAGAAGGGGATGGGGTGGGGGGGGAAGAGAAGAGATTCACATACACACGTGTTGGTCAGTTGGTGGTGGCTGTTTTTAAAATAGAAGGCTTCTTTCAAGAAAAATATGTTTTTTTGAAAAAAAATTGTCCTTGTTGGGAGAGGGTGGATGATCCAAGATAAAAAAAGAATCAGAAAGGTGGCTCGGGATCTGGTTAAAGGAAGGATACTAGAAAGGAGAAATAATCCCGTGTTTTGTTTTGGGGTTTTTTGGTTGCTGTTCAGGTGGGAGGGGAAGGGAGGGTCGTGAGGGAAGATCTGGATTTCTGTTTTCCCCAGTCCCAGTCCCTCTCCTCGCTCTGGCTGGCTGGCTGGCTGGTCTGCTTGCTTGCTTGATGGATCCGGGCTGCCTCCCGACAGCCTCTTTTTTTTTCCTCCGCCTCCCCTGTTCAGCTGTGATGCGAGCCGCTGCCCATCCAGCCTCGGATCTGGCAAAGAAACTCACTTCAAAAGCAGCAGAATTAGTCAGAGATTAAAGCCTTTGCCGCCTTCCAATCAAATGGGACCCCGAGGTGATTGGAGGGTCAAGGGGATGTGACGTCACCTTCCTTCTTCAGGGGCTTTTCCAGCACCAGCAGCCTTCTACGAGGGATTTAATAGTCTCTTTCTTTCTTTCCTCTCCTGTGCCTTGCCCTCTTCTGGTCGGGGCTCCTAAGGCCAGGATGGATGGATGGATGGATGGATGGATGGGCCGATGTCACTTTTGTGTTTCCCGTTCACCACTCCGCACTATTTTTTCCCCTCGCGAATAATATGATCCCTTGTAAGGATTTTGTTTGTTTGTTTTTACGGGGGGCACTTTAAAGCTCTCTAGAAGAGGAAAAAAGTGCGAAGTTTGAAAGAGATTTATATTCCTGGCTACGCGCAGAGCCTTACATATCTCTGCAGTGCGACCCATAAAAGCGCCATTAGATGCGGAAGGTACGGAAAAATACACGGATTTGTTTGGTTTTGTTTTTTCTCCTTAATCAACGCTGCCGATGCGGGGTGTTTTGGGTTGTATCCTCTTTCAGAACGCCAGCAAATTGTCAAGTGATTTGTTCTCTCTCTCTCATTTTTTTAAATTCGGGTGATTGGGGGGGGGTAAATCTTGCCGATCGCGTAACATTTTTTTTACAGTAATTATTTTTCTACAGCGCGAAACGGAAGCGCTGGAAGCCCTCCTTTCCTCCCGAAGTACGAATCCAGAACCCTCCAATCAGGACTGTGGTGACACTCGGAGGTTCTGGGCAGAGATTGGGAGAGACGCGTGTCACATGTTGCCGAGGCTCCGCTCCTCCTTCGCCCTCCTCTCTTCCCCTCCCCTCCCCTCCTCCTCCTCCTCTTCTTCTGCCGCTCCTTTTTTGGGGTGGGGTGGGGAGCCTTTCTCCTCGCCTCTCCTTCATCAGTTGTCAATGCTCCCCAACCGCAATCAATCAGTTATTTGTCAGCCCCTGTCAATCCTCCCTTGATTTATGTCAGGTTTTGTTGCTGATTACAAGCCTAGTGCGACTTGAAGGAAGAAGCGGGGCTGGGGGGGGGGGAAAGGGAGACAGAGACAGGCAGACAGACAGACAGGCAGACAGACAGACAGACGACTTCCCCTGAAAAGAGAGCCGTTCAATTGAAAGAGTAAATCGCTCTCCCAGCGAATGCAATTTGTCTGCCAACCAAAACACGGAGCGACTCGGGCAGCGTGTTCCGTGACCCACCGCGATCCCAGGACTATTGGGGGGGGGCGGGCGGGAGGGAGAGCATTCCTCGTCGGTCCCGAGTCTTGCGTAATTAAGAATCGAGCCCTCCTCCTCACAGTGTGGCCCGGCAGAGGCCTGGTTTTACCCAGTAGAAGCGACTGCCGAGCAAACGGGCGTAGGGCGTCCTTCGCCGGAATGCCGCCGCAATCCGCTTCGGCGAGGGCGCCCGGTCTTGGCGAGAGCAGGGCGGTCGGTCACCCGAGTTCCGCGTCCTTCGGAAGAAGCCCCTCTGGACGCCCTCTGGGACCGACTTCCGAGTAGACACAATTGCCGTAGCAAGACGTGGGCCGGAAGACTGGTGCCCCGGGTTTAGGAGGGGCGTTCTACCGAGTGCAGCTGGACTTACTCCCGAGTAAACGGGAAAGGCTCGGGAAGGTGACTTTGCCTGACCCGGGCGCCTTGCAGGGAGGGAGAGGCGAGCTGGTGGCCCAGCGATCGCGCCTCGGGAGCCGGGCGAGTGGAGAAATGAAAGAGGGAAGGGAGTGAGTGGGAGAGAGAGAGAGAGAGACAAAGGAGGCAGGAACATTATTGACATTTTATCGCCAATCCGTCTCTCCATCGGCTGGCACAGCGGAATGTTTAAAACGAGATTAAGATTGACATCTTGAACAGCCCGCGAAATGCCAATACTGACAGCACGGAGCAGGGAGGAGACGACAGAGAGGAAGGAGCGGCAGAAGGCGGGGGGGGGGGAGGCTGGATCGCGAAGGGCCTGGGATCAAAGGCGATTCATTGCAGCCTTTCAAGTATTTGTCCACAATTGCTGCCTCCACCCACTCCTCTATATTCCCCCACCTCGCCCTGCACGGTTTCCTTCCAGTTTGTCCTATGGATCTCCTCTCTGTCGCGATGTCTCCCCCTTTAACATCTTGCCCGCAAAGATGGGTTTTCGGTCTAAATACCTAGCACAGTCCCGCGGGAAGTTCTCCTGCGGCAAACGCTGTGGAAGCCTGCTTGCAGGAGCACTTTCTCATGGGCTGAGCTTGAACGGTGCAGTCCCGAGAAGTACTTGCTTACGAGTAAGCCCTATGGAATAGAAAGCTCGCTTAAGGCCCGAATGAACGATGTTGGGACCGGGCGGCGAGACGTACATTCGGGGCAATACGGGTTGCGTGTTTTGTTTTCAACGCCCCGTCCTTTAGAAAGCAGTTTCCCCTCGGCTTGTTTCAAAAAGGGGCGGGGGAGGCAAAGAACAGTAAAACATTCTCCCCAGTCTCGGTCTGTCCTCGAAGATTTCCGTATCGACTCTTTTTTCTTAAACGCCTTCCCAACTCGCATTTGCGTTTGTGTGTGTGTTTTTATAAAAAGAGACCTCTGTTGCTTGTCTTCTCAAACTTCAGTCATCTTAACTTGTCCTTTAAAGGAACAATGTAAATGTGTTCCATTTACGTATGTTCTTTGTTTACTACATTATATATAATATATATATTCGAAAGTTTTTCCTTTTTGTTTCTAGATCGGACATGACGGGCCCGCATATATACTACAGTATTACAAAAAGGTCAGTAGGAGATATAAAACACGCTCGACGAGCGCAGAATAAGGCGGGGGGGGGGGGGGGGTTCCTGGCGGGGGGGCT